CAGCGAAAAACACCTGGTCATGATCATCCATCAGGAATGTGAAGACGTTTGGACGGACACAAGCACAAGAGTTTAGGTGACTTCGATGCTGTTGATAGCCACATCAGTTTTCTAGTGCTCATTGGCAGATCAAGCACTGACTGCTTATTGGCAGAATCAGGCTTTGGTTTATCGGCAGGTCAAACAGTCATTCCTCATGGGCAGATCAAGCACGGGCTGCTTATTGGCAGATCAGGATTTGGCTGCTCATCGGCAGATCAAACACTTACTCCTCATTGACAGATCAAGCACGGGCTGCTGATTGGCAGATCAAGCATTTGCTGCTCATCAGCGGATCAAACACTCATTCCTYRTTAACCGACCAGTTATGTGTCGCTCATTGGCCGATGAGGCACTAACAGTTTGTTAGCAGAACATGCACTGGCTGATTATTGACAGATCAGGCATTAGCTGTTCATCAGCAGGGTTACATCAAGGCAGACATATTGACCGTCGGGATCTTCGAACAACTGTTGACGCCTTACTATTTGGTTGCTTCAATGCGGCTGAATAGCGAAAATGGTTTCTACTCTACAACTTGAATCAGATGGCATAGTGCCCTCGAACCAGTTCTAGTGTTTGCAGTGCAGAGACACGGGAATAGGAGGGAGGATAATTATTATTGTTATTATTACTTCATTATTATTTTTTTATTATCATCATTATCGGTCCGATTGCAAAAGATCTCAGAGCTCAGTCTCCGAGTGAAAATTTGATAGGCAAGTTTGAATCCCACTCCCTGTCGATCGCTGAGGACCTCTGAAGCGGGCGCATCGGGTGACAGACGTTGCCCTTGGCTTCAGTGAGCGGCAGACGTCTACCTCCCCGGGTTTCCTCACAACATTGGCGCCGTTGCCGGGGAGGGGAGCAGCACCCCCAAGGCCGCGGCCTTCCCCAACCAACGGGGGTGCACGGGCTGATTAGTCAAACACTAATTAGCTTGTTTTCTTGATTAATTTTATTTTTTATACTCATTTTATTTAGTTTTTTTTTCATTATCTCCCAATCCGCGCGTTTTTGCTCGAGGCGCGCCGGGAGCAAAGTTCGTCTCCTCGTCGAGGCGAACGTTTTGAGATGTTTTTTTTTAATTTTAATGGCTAGAAAAAGAGAGATGAATTTTTTAATATTTTTTAATTAAAAATCCAAAAAATCATGAGTTCAAATTTTTAATTCGTTTTTTTTCGATATCTCTCGATCCGAGCTGGAAAGTTCGCCCTCTCGTGGAGGCGAACGTTTTGAGATGTTTTTTGAAAAATTCGAACGGCTAGAAAAAAAAATATGAAATTTTTTGTATTTTTTTTGTATTTTTCTAATTAAAAATCCCAAAAATAATGAATTAAAATTTCGAGTTGGTTTTTCCTCGATATCTCCTGATCCGTGCGTTTTTGCGCGAGGCGCACAAAGAGCAAAGTTCGACCTCTCGTCGAGGAGAACGTTTTGAGATATTTTTTGAAAAATTTTAATGGCTAGAAAAGGAGATATGAATTTTTTTGTAATTTCAAATTAAAATTTCGAATATCATGAATTTTTTTTTATTTTAATTACGAAGAAAAGAAGCGAAATTAGGTGAACCCCGCCCGGACCAAAGTTGGTCTTTGTATTTTTCCCGACATTTTGAGACCTTAGTCGGGGAAAACGGACTCCGTTAGGACGAGTGGTGACCGCCAAAAGACGGGAAAAGAGCGGAAAATTAAAAGGAATTAGTGATTTTCTTTATATTTTTATAAAAATAAAAGAAAAACAGAAGTCGGCAAAAGTGACCCGTTGGAACCCGGCTTTTAACTGACTTCAAACCGACGGAAAATTTTCTGTCTCGACAAGTCGGACGTGGTGGCGTGCGGTCGCGCGCAAAACCCCAAAACCCTAATTAGGGTAAACCCTAACCCTACGTTAGGGAAGGGCGGTGCGTAGCCGGGCGGATACAAGTCTTTCTATCCGACCGGTGATGGGAAAATTTTGTATAAATCCAGTTGACCAAATTGAAATTAATCAAAATTGGGAATTTTGTTTTAATTAAATAATTTAAGTTGTAAAYTTGTTTWARGTAATAATTTGTCATTAAAAATCGATTAAAAATCAAAATAAATATCTAAAATTCTTCAAGAAAGGGGAGTCGGCTTTATTTCGGCTTGGTGATTCGGGAGATACTTCGCTTAACCCCATCCCAACGGAGGGAAGCAAAGTGCTCCCGAAATTTCTCGGCAATTTGCTGAATTTTATTGAATTAAATTTTAAATAATTAAAAAAAATACTTGAAAATTAGCTAAAGATTGAGATACTTTTTCAGTTCTTAATCTTTCTTGTTAAACATCTACCGTCGGTATTTTGAGGCCTTCGGCCAAACCCTATCCCGACGGGGGGGGGAGGCAAAGTGCTGTCGAAATTTCGAAAAATTTCCTAATTTAAATTATTAATTTTTTTTTAATAAATATATTGAAAGCGATTAGGGAAATTAATTATAAATACGTTAGAAATTTGTTTCTTTAAGCGACTTTCCTCTTGTTTCATTTGGCTTGAGTTATGGGTAGGTAGCATTTGTCTAGGGACAATAGTCCCGAACCCCATCCCAACGGGGGGAGGTGAAACGCTGCCGAAATTTTAGTAAATTCCCCAAATTTTATTTCTACCCCTAAAAATCTGCAAACTCGGCGGGCTTATGTATGTATTCATCCTTACTATATATAAACTAAAAAAGAAATTTTATCCCAACTAAATATATTTTCTTTAATTTATAATTGGAAAATATAAAAGAATTCCCTAGAGGAAGAAGGGAAAAAGACGTTGCGGTAACCTGGGTTCGGGTGAACCTACTGGCTTGATCCCAAAGGCCTGAGGCAAGTGACGGAAATTTTCAGTTATTAAAGTTATTTTTCTATAATTATTTGTCAAATATTCGTATTAAAAGCAAGGGGTAGAAGGAAGCACGTGCATAACTCGCGGCTCGCTAGGGTTTTCATTACATCCCCCTATGCGCTGAGCGCGAGGTAGTGTTTTCATCTTGTTTATAAGCAATTTTTATTAATTTAGATGATTAAAAATCTCTTAAAATTGCGAAAAAGGCTTAAAAATTCAAAGAGTGAGTACGCTCGGCTCTTAATTTTGGGTTTTGACTAGGGGACAGGGTCCGTTGCTCGGATACCTATTCGAGGGTGCACTAAACAAAACTCTCTCGAGTTGAGCCCACACCTTATATTCGAGGGAACTCGAATATAAGACCTATAGGCCAATCCGAAACCGGGATTTCAACACCCTTTCCTTTTTAGATCAGTCTAGATTAGCACGACTTCAGTGCGGCTCCAAAATCGCAAGGGCTCGGTCGATCTGTGGAAAGTCCCAGTTAGACTTTCATCGCGTCTCCATTCTAATTCCTTCTGTACTTCTCTCTACCAGTGTCAATTAAGTTTCTCTCACATCCCTATTTCTGACTATTCCAAGTCTTCCTTTTCTCATATGTTATTTTGCTGTTAGAGGTGTTCCCCCATCCCGCCCGCCCTTCTCACTAAGCTTTTTGCATACTGCACTGTGCCGCTGATCAGGGTTGCGGCCCTCCCGCCCACTCCTTCTCTTAGGCTCTGCTAACCAGGTTTTGTGGCGCCCCTGGGCAACTCAAAATTGGGTCAGACTGTTGTTCGTAAGCTCTAATTTTAAGCCAGCCCAACGCCCCAACTGAAGAAGTTCCTAGCGTAGTTCTTAGGACATAAGGGACTGTTCACAAATAGGTACGGGCTGCCTGATAAGACAATAGGTCTGGGCTGCCGGATCAAACATTAGGTCCAGGCTGCCAGTCCTGACATTGGGTCTGGGCTGCCGGTTCTGACATCAAGTCGGGGTCGCGAGTTCTGTCATAGGTCCGGGCTGCTCCAACTGTCATAGGTCCGGGCTGTAACGCCTGGCGTAAGTGCCCGACTACAACTTCTGGTAGCCGATGGAACCCGACACGATGGGGCCACAACCGACCACGGGCGAAGCAGGAGAGGAGTACAGGGCATCGCCCGATCGAGCACTGAGGGATCTGAAGGAACGAATTAGGCAAGAAGCACCGCTGAGATGGGCTGACCAAACCAATGATGGAGGGCCCGACATGAGAGGCGAACCAGTTGCGACAGAGCCGCAGGAGGCTCTAAAGACGGGTACCTCGAGCGGACGACGAGAAGCGACGAGGCGGCGCTCCCCCGAGTACGAGCGGAGGGACACCATAGCGGACAGGTACAGAGATGACTTGAGAGAGAATTTGAGGGATTCCTATTGGAGGGACAGAGATAGAGACAGGGCGCCGCCCAGGCGAGTCTTCGACCTCCAGACAGGGGGGTCACATCCGCTCCCTTACGAGAGCAAGGATCGCTATATTATTACGCACAAGGCCTCATAGCCTCCTACCTTCAGGGGTTATGGTATCACAGAATATCTGGAGAAGTGGGAGCTTCACGCCAGCCGGAGTCAGGGGTCGGAGGAAGAGATTATAGAGAACTTCCTATTTAATGTGGACCCAAGTCTTGGTAGGGAAGTAAAGGAAGCTCGACCGAAGGATGGGAAATGGACTACGTACAAGAAGAACCTTGTTGAGCTTTACAAATTGGAGGATAACAAGTATTCCATCCAGGACCTTGAAACAATGACTCAAGATGAAGATGAGAGCGTACGGGCATTTGGGATGCGTTTTCAAAAGATCTCCGACGTGCTGATGAGGAAGGGGAAGATCTCAGAGGTCGAGCGCTGTACTATCTTCATCGGACACTTGTCCAAAGGTAGGCAAAAAAATATACTTAAAGATCTTCCGCGCGACAGGCTTGATTTCCCTGAAGTCCTAAAGCTCGCGATAAAGGCGGAGGCAGACGATTACAAGGACTTGGTGTGGAGAGGGATGAGGAGACGTGACTTCTCTCTCTACAAGGAGTATGCCACTGATAGATGTCCTGATTTCAAGGACTATCCCTGGTCGGAGAAGAATGAGGCCGTGACAGAGGAAGTGAAGGAGATACGGGACATGGTGAAGGGATTGACGAGACAGGTTACAGAGATTGTGACCATTACAGGGGCCACGGCCTACCGGGACAAATCTGGAGGGCCCTATTCACTTCGTTGGGACCGTAGGAACAACGATTCCTGGAGGAGTGTCGAGGATAGAAATCCCCGGACGATGACTGATTATCGTGCTAGCGGAAGAGAGAGAGAGACGATGAGCCATGGCGACGTAGGGATGATGAGATAGACCGAGACCGCAGAGATCGCGAGCTGTTTGCGCGAGCAAGGAGGCCGGATGATTACCCGCGAAGCCCTCGCTATGAGGCCGATCGCGGTAGAGGCGACTCCCGCGGCCGATGGGAGACAGATCACGACCGACGAGATGGATATAGGGACGATAGATACGAGAGATCAGACCGAGATGGATATAGGGACGACAGATACGAGAGATCGGACCGAGACGGATATAGGGACAACAGATACGAGAGGTCGGGTCGAGATGGCTACAGAGGTGGTAGGTATGAAGAGGAGATCGGGATTGCGAACGACGAGATGGGTCGCGCGGACGGTTTGAGCGCGGGGGAGATGCGAGAGAGCAGCGCGACGAGTCGCGGGGGTGGTACAACCGAGGGGACCGACGCGATGAGTCACGAGGGCGATATGACTCGGGGGACCGCCGAAATGATTTGCGAGGGCGGTATGAGCAAGGAGGGTCTGGAGGAGACCGCCGCAACGATGCGCGCGGTCGGAATGAGAGAGGGGGATATGGCGTCTCATCAGAACCATATCCGAAGTCGCCTGACCCTAAGGCAGCCAGGAGTTCGATCTCTAGAAGCACAGACGACAGACCATCTACTCCCAGGAACTCATGCGTCTACTGTAGAGGAGAAGATCATATCAAGAGGGATTGCCCGGACCTCAAACAGGCAATAGATGAGGGATTTGTCGTGCTTGACGACCGCAAGTACGTCAAGTGGGCAGATGGTCTGGGAGATGTATCGATGTTCCCTTCG